CTCAACAGGCTGTGGACAAGTCGGGCTCTAACCAGCTGGAAATGAGCTTTAAATCAGGGGTTCCCAGTACACATCAAAGGAAATCACCCATCATGTGAGCACAGACTCCAAATTAAAATAGAAACAGCCACGGATGGGAAGAACATCTATAGGCCCAGGACAGGAGCAGCACTGCTCCTTTTCTTCAAGCTGTAGGGGCATTTAAAATCCTGTGGATTCATAGTTAATCTAACCTCCATATCTCACCAGGCATTGTCAATATTTATGAACAGAAATGAAAGAGACTAACAGTCATGAGAAAAGGTAAGCGCTGCAGAAATTAAATGGGGGCCGGCTGTGGTGGCTCACACCTGTAATCCCAGAACTTTGCAAGGCTGTGGTGGGCAGATCACTTGAGGTCAAGAGTTAAGAGACAAGCCTGACCAACATGGTGAAACTCTGTCTCTACTAAAAATACAAAAAGAAAAAATTTGCCAGCCATGGTGGCAGGCACATGTAATCCCAGCCACTTGGGAGGCTGAGGCAAGAGAATTGCTTGAACTTAGGAGGCAGAGGTTGCAGTAAGCAAAAATTGCGCCACGGCACTTCAGCCTGGGTGACAGAGCAAGGTCTTCAAAAAGAAAAGGAAAGAAAAGAAAGAAAGAAATGAACTGGAAAGTTTTAGGGTCACACTTCAAATGTTAGAGGAGTAAGATTACGTAGAAATTTAGCTTACTAAATCAGTTATATAGTTCACAATAAACAATTTAAGCAAGCAAAAAGAATGAAGGAAGTTCCCAAAAGCGCAAATAAATGCTTCTTTTCTTTTTTTTTTATTTTTTCCCATTTATTTTATTGCATTTTAGGATTTGGGGTACATGTGAAGAACATACAAAATTGTTGCATAGTAACACACGTTTTAAAGCAGATCTCATGTACTACTTTATTGATCCATGAAGACATTGCCCGAAAATCTCTGCTCTCATCAGCACTTACAGCTCCCATTCTAAAATGCTATTGTTGTTACTTTTCTCAAATGAAAGAAAAACAAAGCCTTCACACTGACTCAAGGTGGGAAGAGGAGCTGGACCATTTGCCTTGTAGGCTCATCTTCACAGTTAAAAGTAACCACGACGTCAGTGGGGGGCAAAGTCCACAGTCAGTGGAGGGGTCTGAGCTCCACCATTCACACGGGACCAGCCAAGAGCCATTCAGCTAGGGCACCTGAGAAAAATGGGGTCCTGCCCCCCAGTGGGACAACGGTTCTCTTCATAAGTGCTTGGAATTCTTCCCAGGAAATATGACAATTGCCCCACCTGAGCCCTCACCCCCAAAAGGAAGAGCAGGATGTGTGGATTGTGCAGCAAAAACTAAGCGGCTGCCTTCACGGGAGCTCCTACCTCGCCAGAAGGCGTTGTTCAGGCACAGGCGTTTCTGGGCTGGCTCCTCACTCATGTGTCTCCCTGGCACTCTCTTCTTTTTCCTCATTTCCCATCTAGAAGACAAAGAAAGAATTGCCTTGAAGAAGAATTAAAATACCACGCTCCTTACTAGACACTCAAAGCTTCATCTTTTTTTGTTTGTTTGTTTTTTAGAGACAGGGTTTCACCATGTTGGCCAGGTTGCTCTTGAACTGC